CATGCCCAGTTCTAAGGCAATTCCAACAAAGTGAATTGTTAGTAACTGCCTTTTCTCTTTCACTCAAAGTTTTGTTGCATTGGGTTGGAGGATGGGGTCCAGTACAAAATGGGCAACCAGTTCTTTGTTGGAAATTTTGAAATTGGGGTCGCCCTTGGTAGTTTTGATTTTGAGAACCTCGTTGTTGATTTTGGTATCCATTGTTAAATTGTTTTCGATACCCTACATCAGTTTGATTTTGAAATCTGTTTGAATCAGCAGCTATTTCAGTAGCGTTTTCCTTTTTTATCTGAGGGTTGGTGGCAGGTGCCTCTGAGGAGTTTGAGGAAGAGTTTTCTGTTAAAATGTTAATTTTAGTTAGAGCTGTCTCCAAAGGAAGAGCAAGAGAGGCAGTGGTGTTTTCCTTTGAGGAAGCATTCACACTTGATTTGTAAATACTAAATTTTTGTTCTTTTAACTTTTTTGTTCCACTATTAAGTTTCTCCCAGAACCATCCATAAATCCTCTCAGGATTTTCACTCCAATGATCCTGTAACTCGGGAGTTATGGAGGACTGCAGGATGTCGTAGAGGGAACTTACATTAAGGTTTTCCTTGACATTGGGCCAAATACGCTTATGTGCATAAAAAATGTCTTGTTTTAAGACCGTGAGTTTAGCTACTAGTTTCGAAATTTCGCAAATATATTCTGCAGCTGCAGCTTTGGTTTTGTTAACTGGAGAAAGAGCTTCAATGGTGTTAAAAATCTCAAGAGCTATTTGATTGACATCCCCAAATTTTGAGAACAGGACTCGGACCAGGAAAAGATAATCTTCTTCCATTTCTTTTCTTTCTAAACCTTTAACTTCAGAGAGAACATCTTCCTCAAAGTGAAGTAATAAAAGTGAGATTCTTTGGTTTGGGGTGAATTCAATTTTTGGAGCCTGATGAATAGGTCGAAAGGCGGCCCAGACTCTATCAAAATCGTTATCCAAAGTTGATTCAATTTTAAATTTTCAAAAAGTTTTCATTTCCTTTTGTTTGTAGGTTTGAATAAAGGTGGTGGCATCATGTGTTATAGATTTTCCTTTTCCGTACATTTTGATTTCACTTTCAATGTAGGGTTCATCTTATGCCAGCAAGTTTGGTATTTTCTTTGCTTCTTTAGGAAAGGTCACCTCTATCAGATCGACCTCTTTTCTTGGTACTCTTAAAGTTGTATTTTGAGGAATGATGTTTTCCATCACTTCCATTCTTCTGATGCCAGCAAGTTTGGTATTTTCTTTGCTTCTTTAGGAAAGGTCACCTCTATCAGATCGACCTCTTTTCTTGGTACTCTTAAAGTCGTATTTTGAGGAATGATGTTTTCCATCACTTCCATTCCTTGAGGAACAGTTGTGGAGCTATCCCCACTTTCAGAGATTGGTTGCGGCAGATTGTTTTCGTTTTCGACAAATCTTGATTCTGTCTGGTTTACAGCATTTTCCTCAATTTTGGCATTGTTTGCATTTAGAAAAATAGGAGGAGGAGGAAATTCTACACTCTTGACAGTTTTTTGAGAAGGTCTTAAAGACGTCCACTCTAAACTAAGGCTATCAGGTGTGTGGGTCGCCAGAATACCAATTTCCTTCCTGAGAAGAGTTAGCTTGATCATAGTTTGATCATCAATGGGCTCCAACAATAAAGAGTCATAAAATTCAGAGAACTCTAGAAATTTTGACAGAATATCTTCAAACATGAGTTTCTGTTTTTCTTTATCAAGTTCTTTATAAGCACAATCTCCTTTTCTTACTGCTCTGACTATAAGATATAGTTTTGAGGTTAGAGAGGTAAGAGGGGAAAAAAGAGGAGTCATTCTAGTTGAAGCTCGACCTGACTGAGATCTCTAAGTTCTTTACAAGCACAATCTCCTTTTCTTACTGCTCTGACTATAAGATATAGTTTTGAGGTTAGAGAGGTAAGAGGGGAAAAAAGAGGAGTCATTCTAGTTGAAGCTCGACCTGACTGAGATCTCAAGACGGATCTTTGGATTGGGGTGGTAGGGAGAATATTATTTGAAACGGATAATGGTTTTTTGGCGGGTTTTCTGCCGCGTTCTCCCTTTTCTCTGAGAGAAGGACGGCCTCGACCTCTAGGCATAGTTCTTAAAGTTTTCTCTTTACTCGATGGTTTTCAGTAATAAGTTAGATCAAAAAATGATTAGAACAAGTTTTTTGAATCAAGTATGCCAATAAATATACAAAAAACCTTTTTAGACAACCTCCTTGCTGTAGATACACAAACCCGAGTGTTTCAAAATTACACGAAATTTAAATATGATATACGTAGAAAATACCAAAGAATTTGATTCACACGAAATTTAAATACACTTAGATACACCGGAGAGTTTGAAAAATTTCAAAATAAACTTATATACACTGAAGAATTCGATCCACACAAAGTTAAAAACTTGAATAAGCCGAAAAATTCAATTCACCTGGAATCCAAATAGAATACACTTAGTTACACCAGAAATTTTGATAAACACGAAATTTGAATATGATACACTTTGTTACACCAGAAAATTTGATACACACGAAATTTGTATATAATACACTTTGTTACACCAGAAAATTTGATACACACAAAATTTGTATATAATACACTTTGTTTGAAGGGATAAGTTCTTCGCCTTTGAAGAATGAGATGGAAGTTTTAACACTCAGCGCTGAGAAAACTAAAACTTTTGTTAGATTAACCATGCTCTGCTACCATTTTTGTCAGAAAGAGATTTTTTAAACTGCTTTCAGACAAGGAAAGAAAATAGAATTTTCCTTCCGATGGACGAAAAGAAGGATCGAGGAATTTACAACAAATAAGAATAAAAAAAAAGGGGATTGTAAATAAAACCAGATAATCAGCCAGGCTGCGGCCGGGACCAGCGTCCTAGTTTAAATTGGTATATTTTCAGAGAAAGCAAAAATAACGTCTGATTTCTTAAGTTTGTAAAGAAGATGACAAGACAACCGTAAATGCAAACGCAAACGCAACGAAAACGCAAACGCAACAAAAACGCAAACGCAACGAAAACCCAAACGCAAATTCGTCGGACATCGCGAGGTCTGAACTGGACTGTGTGTTTGTATGGAAAATCTCTTTGCTTATATACTGTTTTTTCCGGAAAGTAATCCTTTGAATTTATTCGGGGAATATCCTTGGATTGCAAGGTCTTTTTAGCGTAGCAAATTTAGAGGACGCGTTTTTTTGGGAGGAAGATCGTGGGAACTCAAGGTCATTCCTTGTCCCACGAGATTCCTTCAGGATTATTGGTCTTTTGCCGATTCCAGCAACTCTCGTGTTTCCAAACACCCCTCATCTAAATTTTTGACAACTCCAACCATTGTAGAACAGGTTGTGACAAAACATGGTCACAGACTGAAGTTACCACTGCGCTTTTTCCATCACTGAATATGTCTCATCTATGACATGCTAATGGCTGGTGTTTCTGCAGATAATTTTGTTGTTGACAAGGGTACAAATGCTTCCTTGAGCTAATGACAGACAATAATGCATGGGTCCATTAAATATCACCACTGGGGATTTTCAGTCTATTTTTACCCCTTATACTCGTGTTCCTAGACAGGATTAGAACTGCACTTTTTCAAAGCAAATAACTTCCTCTTCAAAGCTATAGAAAGAGTTGTCGCAATTTCAAGCAATAATTTGGCTCACTTGAAGTGATTAAGCTTGGACCTACATAATACATGTTCTCACACACTGTCCTTGAGTTATGACACAAATCATCCTCAATTTGGACTTGATCCAGTTTCTGCAGAAATGGGCTTCAGAAAACGCTTAATTTTTGCAATTCTGAACATAGGCAGTGTTGAGAATACAGTAATTAAATGGTTGAAAAATATCCATTTGCACGCAGCCTTGATTTCATTTAATCATGTGCCTTTTTATGGATGTTTATTATATGCCAAGTCCCCCTAAAATGACATTCATTTCCAAGTTGATTTTGTCACGTGCCAAAACTGAGAATCTTCAACCGACTAAATGACTCAGGAAATTTTTTTTCAATTTATATGAAATGAAAATAAATTTTTTAATAAAAATATAACATTTAAAGAAGTTTGTACGGTTTATTATTAGCTCATCAAATGCAAGAATAAATTCAGATACAGCCTCAGAAAGAACGCGTCACGCCACACTTAGTGCCAAAAAAGGATTCACTCTGCAAAAAATGGACTCCCTTCGGACGGAACAACTTTTCTCAAGAACACTCCCATTTCGCCCCCTCTAAAAATAAACCACGTACAGTACTTCAGGAAGACCATAAAAAACAATGCTTCACATATATGAATGAATGAATGACCCAATACGATAAAATGTTGCAAAACTAACCGTATGAAAAAAAAAAAACAAATGGTCATACAACCACGCTCTCGCATATTTGATTCTTCCTTCACAAATAATTACAATACGCTAATTACCCTCTTTCGTGACAAAAAAAGGTCAAAATTCAGAAACATAGGCAAGTTTTCAAAAATCTCTCCCCTTTTTTATTTGTTTAAATCACGATATTTGCACATGAACAAAAAAGGGCTACATTTTGTATTGCTCCTCGTCATATCACTCGAACTGTTCTGCTTGCTTAGCCAGCGCAGTGCACTGATGCAAAATTCTCTTGCTGATAACCGATTAAAATTTTGACTTGGTTAAAAAATGTATAAAATGCTGACCCCCAAAAGTCGTATCAAAAAACAAGGCCAAGACAAAATTCAGATGAAGACTTCTGACGCAAAACATTTCACCATAAGCTTGGCCTTGCGCAGGAAAATGCCTTCAGCCGCCTAGAAAACTTTCCCCCACACTGATGGCAAATTTGGTGGGCAAGAGTTGAACAAATAAAAGCAGCAGAAAACTTGAAAAAATACATTCAAGTCACCCACCCCGCAAAAAAAAAAACTAACAACAACGCAACAACCTTTCGGGGGGTTTAAAAAAAGAAATAAACCAATTCGCAAACACAATGTCAACCTATTCGAGCCACAGACTCTTCCACCCAAAGTTGGCAAAGAATTGCATCTTACCAAAAACAACGTAAGTTAGTCCAATGATGGTTGTTGAGCAGCAGCCCAAGAACAAGAATAAAGGACAGCTGATGCTGGCCATGGCCCCACTGTAAATGGGACAATACCGACACTGGTACGATCCACACACCGCACAAATGTCCAATGCGTACAACAGTGTCGGATAAAACGGGTGCAGGAGAAAATCCCGTGGGAGAAAAAATCCCGCGGCCAAAAAATCCCGCCAGGCCGATAATCCCGTAGGCCGAAAAATCTCGCGGGGTCTGAAAATCCCGTAGGTACGAAAATCCCGTATACAGTACTACAAAATTGTGATATTATCTCTTGAGTTTTCCTTTCAATTGCGTCTACTCTTCTGTCGCCTTTGGGTGCGAATCTTGTTACATTTAATGGCTCATTGAATTAAAAAAAATTGCATGCTCTTCATGTGCTGTACATTTAAATTGAAATTCGAGGAAATGAAATATACTTATATACCTGCATTTAGACTTATTTGATGATTTAGAAATTATTTATAGACCATTATAGACCATTTATAGACCATCACCAGATATCAAAGAGTGTTTTTTTTCATGTAAAAATTCATTTTTTTAGGGCAAAGTAGAACTGAAAATAATTGGAAAAGTGAACAGTTTATATACAAAACAAATGCAGGGATGAAGTCTTGATCCAAATGAAGGTTACATTTTTCTCAGGTTTCCTCAGGAGAAAGGTGAGGAAGTGAAGTTGAGGCTCTATTGACAAAGGTAATTCCTAGATCTTGGAAATCCTTGGAAAGAAACCCCTTGCACTTTCCCCATTTCATAATCCACCATATTCACATTCCTCTCAGCCAGTTGGAAAGAAAACTTGGAGATAATATCACAATTTTGTTGTATACAGGATTTTTGTACCTACGGGATTTTTGGACTCCACGAGATTTTTTGGCCCACGGGATTATCGGCCTCACGGGATTTTTGGGCTGCAGGATTTTTTCTCCTATGGGATTTCATGATGGAGCCAGATAAAACATGGCCACATAGAACTTTTCTGGCTCGTGGGTCGCAAAAATCCGTGCTGAACAATTCTTGGTCATATTTGCCACAGGGTACCAACGACAAATTGTGTATGAGAAACACTTTTCAGATGTTCCAAGCTGCAAATGAAAATAGTAATTCCTTGGATGAGAATGTGCATGTTGGAAATAGAAGTGGGAGATGAAAAATCAAGTACAGATTTGTTGGGTGAGTTTCGCTGGAGGTGAGTTTCACTGGAGGTGAAACTCACCCTCTAATCCCTGAGGAAATCCAAGGGAACCCAGTTGACCTCGGGTTCCCATGGGATTTTCCATCCTTGGAACAAATCACCCTTCAAGGATCATTCCCTGATTTCACTAGAATGTCCTCAAGGACCTGTCCCTCCCCCAAAAGTCTTCTTGGTCAGTCTTGACCACATTTTTAAGACAGTTCATTCCTGGCAGTCCTACTGACAAGACCTCAGGAGGTTTTGTTGTGATTGAAATTTGTTGCTATTGGAAATCTTTTCTTTTGTTGCCACAGGGTACCAACGACAAATTGTGTATGAGAAACACTTTTCAGATGTTCCAAGCTGCAAATGAAAATAGTAATTCCTTGGATGAGAATGTGCATGTTGGAAATAGAAGTGGGAGATGAAAAATCAAGTACAGATTTGGATTGTGTATCGACGATCCACCACCCTGGCCCTGCACCCAAGGCAAAAAAAGGGTCAGGGTGAAAATCCGTGAAAATCGGATCTATCAATGTCACTGGCCTCAGGAAAAGGCTTTGACTGGTCGGCGNGCCATTAATTCTACTGTATGCAGTCTTATACCTGCCTTCCATGCAAATTTGCCTAAGAAATTTTGATGTCCCCAAAAAACAAAGAATACAGGCAGAAAACTGTGAAACGCTGGCAGGATGAGATAAAATCGGCAGCGGTCTTGAATGCGCGGCCTGCCCAAGAATCAAAGGATTTTTTTCCGCCCTGTGGATGGCCCCCCCTTTTTTTTTGAGGGGCGGGGGTCCATAAAACCCTTGGTGGATAGAAATGCCAAATGTCACAGATTTGTTGGGTGAGTTTCGCTGGAGGTGAGTTTCACTGGAGGTGAAACTCACCCTCTAATCCCTGAGGAAATCCAAGGGAACCCAGTTGACCTCGGGTTCCCATGAGATTTTCCATCCTTGGAACAAATCACCCTTCAAGGACCATTCCCTGATTTCACTAGAATGTCCTCAAGGACCTGTCCCTCCTCCAAAAGTCTTCTTGGTCAGTCTTGACCACATTTTTAAGACAGTTCATTCCTGGCAGTCCTACTGACAAGACCTCAGGAGGTTTTGTTGTGATTGAAATTTGTTGCTATTGGAAATCTTTTCTTTTGTGCTTTTGGATCAAGTCAATTTGTGTGTGATTTTAAACCAGAAAATATATCAACTTATACTAGGGTGTCAAGCATCCTGGCCACAGCCTGGCTGATTACTGCTTTGTTCATTTCATATCGAGAAAGTGAATTGATTAAAAGATTCTGTTGAAGTTCTCAAAACTTGAAACCTTACAATTCCTAACAGTGCACAAGAACTTCCAATCCATTGTGCCAAGCCAAAATAATAGCTTTTACTGAAAGTTGTAAATATTTTCCCATCTACAACAGAACCCCAAAAAATTATTCACTGATATTTCAATTCTATACGTGTAAATGAGGAGACACAAATTATGGTTTGCAAAAATCAATTCTTAGTACTGTAGCATGAGTAAAATTTGGCAAAAAAAAACTGCTTCAACAAGTATTCCGGTACAAAAACTTTTTCTCAGGTCCTGGCAGAAAGGCCATGGAGTAAATGTTAAAACAATTTCATTATAACAAACTTCACGATTTCAGTAAAACCAACTTGTTCAAAGAATGTTCAATAAATTCTTCAAGTAGAAATCTTCTTGATTAAGTCCTCTGATCACAAATCTGACCAATTTCTTGTAATGCATCATTGGAACTAAATTCCCCCCCCAGAAGATTTCTCAGTTTTTCAAAGAATAATGAAAAAAAGAACAGCCAAAAATGACTGAAAAGCAACAATTAATGGATTATGGGCAGGTCTGATGTGAACTTTTTTTTTGTCATCAATTAAAAAAAATATTACAAAAAATTATTTAGTACAGTAAGTTCTGAGGTCCCCAAAAGTCTGCTGTTGGTTTTAACAAGATTTTACTGTCTAACTTTTCTTACTACAGTAAAATCTCATAACCAGCCAATTTTTTGGTCATTCTCAACAGAATGAAAACAATGTAATTTGAAGCAGACACATTTCTTGCTATAAATAAGATTTTCCCAGCAAATTAATGCTTACAGCAAAGGAACTGTAACACCCCTGCCTGAAACCAAAATTTGTATCTCAATCTTTTCATCATGGATTTTTTTCCTGAAAAAAGTTGTTTCCTGGTACAAATGTCTCTTTTTAATATGATTTTAGTGTACTTTAACAGAAAACAAATTAAACAATGTAAGCTTTAAAGAAGCCTCTCACAAAGTAAAATCTTGTCCAAGAAACGTTGATGAGAATTAATTCTTGCTCACAACAATATTTTTTCAAAATTCCCTGAATTTTTCATGCAAGGATAAAAAAAAAAAATTCGCAGCACATATAAATGGAATAATTTGATTTACTTTGCTGAAGTACCAGTAAACGGAAGACCGGGTGACTTTAACATCAATCAAATTCATTGGCTTCGTTCTCCTCCTCAAAACATTGATCACAGCTTCACGCTGAGTTATTTCATATCCTGAGGGATTCTCCACCTCAATTGTCACAGATCCGCTGAATTCTCGATCCTCATCAATCATCTCTTTGATTGGCGTGTATCTGAAGACACAAAACGAATAATGATATAATTTTTCATCATGACACTTCTGTGACTTTTACATTGAGCATAAAAATAAATCTGACGCCTTCCAGTTTCTAGACTCACTTGGGGCACAATTCCACGTCAATGATGGACTTGTTCCTGAATGTTCGATAGGTTTCTTTCACATCCAAGTCAAACACTCTAACTGGAGACTTTTCCTTCAATGCGTCATAGTCGACTCCGTAAGCATAGTCCAGCTGCACAATGGCTTGTCCTCTTCCTTTCCCAATGATGTTGATGTGGTATTAAACAATGTAAGCTTTAAAGAAGCCTCTCACAAAGTAAAATCTTGTCCAAGAAACGTTGATGAGAATTAATTCTTGCTCACAACAATATTTTTTCAAAATTCCCTGAATTTTTCATGCAAGGATTAAAAAAAATTCGCAGCACATATAAATGGAATAATTTGATTCACTTTGCTGAAGTACCAGTAAACGGAAGACGGGGTGACTTTAACATCAATTAAATTCATTCGCTTCGTTCTCCTCCTCAAAACATTGATCACAGCTTCACGCTGAGTTATTTCATATCCTGAGGGATTCTCCACCTAAATTGTCACAGATCCGCTGAATTCTCGATCCTCATCAATCATCTCTTTGATTGGCGTGTATCTGAAGACACAAAACGAATAATGATGTAATTTTTCATCATGACACTTCTGTGACTTTTACATTGAGCATAAAAATAAATCTGACGCCTTCCAGTTTCTAGACTCACTTGGGGCACAATTCCACCTCAATGATGGACTTGTTTCTGAATGTTGGATAGGTAAGAAAGTGTAGGTTCAGTTTGTGAGATTGACCTCTGAAAAGGAAGTTACGCAGTATCAGCTGAGGCATTCGTATCAGGTCGACGTGTTACCGAACAGGAGAAGGAAAGGGTTACTACAACTACACCGCCCAAACTTTTTCCAGCTGCAACATGAATTCAACATGGATATTTAACTTTCATGCTTCAAGAAATACGGTAGATGGAACCATTCTCCAGACTTCTCTAGACAAACAATTTTGTAGCACATGGAACAAATGGCGCACATTTAGATATCTTCTGAAAATGAATTTTTGTTTTAAAAAAAAGATTATTATTTGGAATAGTTTTTGCATTTTTTTATCCTCAACAAAAAGAGGAGAATCATTGTTGATGAATTTATTGCACATTTTCCTTAAAAAAATGACTCAAGAAGAAAACTGAGAACCATCAATAGCATGTGTACCACGAGACTAAATAAAGGAGAACCTTTGTTTTAATATAAATCTATTCAGTTTTCGGATTGTTCCATTTCATTCAACATGGATCAAGAAGGTTTCAAAAAGTTTGGAGGAGTTAATCTCTTTTTTAGTTTTTAGGATCATGGGGCAGTTCACTTTCAAATTTATGAATGCAAGAGAAACCCTGAAATTTAGAACAATTCGAAATTGATTCCATCTCTTGACAGTTGAACAAGTAAAACAGGGAAATAAGTTTCCGACATCTAGATACAGGAGGATAACCAATTTTACCCACAGTACCATCATGGTTCAGTGGACCATCAGTAAAATGATGAGAAAATGTTTTAAAAAAAAAAAGGTGACTCACATCATACTTGTGCAGCTTGGCAATGCTTTCATTGGTGATTCTGACTTACTTCTGCCAGCCAGGGGTTCCAGTTGCTTCCAGGGTCACAGTCATCTCTGTGATATCCCTCAGTCGAGCCCGAAAAGAATAGTCTGTCAATGCTTCCAATGCAATGATGGTGTCCTGCAATCATTCGAATACACCTGGGATCAGATTTCGTGGGAATGCTGATGGCATTCAGGAAAACCATATTTCGTCCATTCTTTGCATTAAACACATTGCAGTACCCTTTTCCAAAAAATCTAGCGGTCATTCTTATTATATTTTCCGTACCCTTTAGAAATGACAGCCATTACTTGAGAACACATTTTAATTGACAATTTCTCACAATTTCAGTGCGCGTCTGTCAATTCACACTAGTATAAGTTTGAAAAAATGCCAGAAACAAAAGCAAATGTTTTAAATTAAGTTATTGAATTTGATACAGTAACTGTAATATTGCATATAAAAGTAAAAATATTAGGCAGATGAAATTCAAAATTCAAAAATGACTTGAGCACATACACAGGAAATTGAAAGCTTCAATTGTCAAGATTCTAAAAGAAAAAAAAATATACTGCAAACTGGTGTGTTTGTGTGTCATATGTGGGGATAAGTGCCTAGCCAATTTTTAGCTGAAAAAAACAAAGGGCACCTATAACTAATGCAAAAATAATGACCTAGTGCAACACCTTAATTTAAAATAATTTCTCAACCTTCCTGCTCCTAACAACAATATTTGAGTCTCATTAATCCAACAGATGCTTTTTTCAAGATCCTCATGGCTGAAGTCTTACTTTACAGCATAAATAAAGACTCTCATAATTTCTTGATCACCTATCAGCATGAAACTTGGTAAATTACACAACAGCACTCACAAATATGGAGATGAAACCCCCAGTCTTCATCCGCATGGAGTTGAGCCAGCAGACAATTTTGCCCTGGAAAAAGCTGATGCCTTCTCTCTGCAAATACACCATGAGTGCGTAGGAAGTTGCCTCCACACTCAATGCGTCCCATCTGTTCTCTTTCTTGGCCTGGATGAAGGGTCTGTTGAACTCTGACTTGATGTCATTCGCTTCATCACTCCAGGGGACCAATACAACCCATTACCTAAAAAGTCAATCATTTCATTTCAACCACGTTACCACCACAAAATTGCAACAACATTTTTAAAGAGTGTTACGCATCTAAAATGTTTCAAAGGGGGATGGGTTTTTTCTTTAGGGTTCGTATTTAAAGGCCGCTACTCTTTTTTAGTTCTGATTTAAATATTATTTGTAATCTTTGATTTATAAAACTGCGATTTTGATGCAAGAAACTTTGCTGTGACAACTTTTGTCTCACAGAACACTAAAGGAATCAATGACTTGGTCTTGAGGAGATTTTAAAATAATGCAGAATGCATCAGTTTTTCTGAATTTCTGTGCATTTCTAAAACAGTTCAAAAACTTTCTGAATCTTAGAAAATTGACTCAAAATTACTGATTCACAATTTGCTCACTCGGGAATATTTTAAAATAATGCAGAATGCATCAGTTTTTCTGAATTTCTGTGCATTTCTAAAACAGTTCAAAAACTTTCTGAATCTTAGAAAATTGACTCAAAATTACTGATTCACAATTTGCTCACTCGGGAAGTAAATAAGAAAATAGGAAATTTTCTTGACTAAATATGTAACATGTGCAATAGGAGAATCTCAAAATTTTTTTCTTCTCAAAAATCGCAGTTTTGGATTTTGAAAACCAGAGGCATGAAGATGAATCAGTAACTTCGTTTCCTGCAACTCACTGTTTTCCCTCTTGGCTTCATCATCCAAGTACAGTACTTGTAAGCAGCCTCAGCTTCTCAACTCCGCACCAAAGTCAGGGCATACGCAGTTATGGCCAACGCTTAGGTATTGGGTTCTATGGAATTGGTCCTGTCCTTCTGCCGCCGGGTTTCAAAGTCAAACTCACGCTTGGGACACCACAAACTGGGCAAAACATTTTCCAGGAAACGGGTCGCCAGTGTGCGAGCTGTTGCTGCTTTTGCTCGCAGAAAACCACCTGTTGACAGGACATTGGTCACATGATTATTTAATGAAGGATCACAAGTTCACTGCAGAAAAATTCAAAGAATGGATCTTGAAAATCTTCAGCATCAGTGAAAATTGATTGAATTGAAAAATTATCTTCCATACATACACATAAAAGGGAAAACTGCACCTTCAGTTTTAGTCGCATGAAATCAACAACCACATAAAATATTTTACAATAAATTTAATAGGTAAACAGCAAGTCCCTGCGCGACAAAAGGCCTAAAGAACGAATATTTTTTGTGGGAAAAACATGACTCACATTAGAAGATTGTTCAACAAAAAGAAATTTCGGAGCCAAAAAATGCGCGGATGTTGTTTAAGTTTTGAACTGAAAAGCCAGAAATTTTAAAAAATCAAGAAAAAAGGGCACATTAAAGAAACGTTTTGTCTACACAATTTGAAAATTTTAGCGAGTTATGAGTAAGAGTCGTCAGGTTTACTGCAATTTCATGCTGAACAACATTAAATTCACAAATTTTTTGCTGAAAAATACAGACTTTACGGTTTATTACAGCTTTTTGGCAGTAAAAAAAACTGCAGTGATCTTAAAATATTTAAGTCTAGAAATGTAACACAACTTCATTGGTCAGGCAACTCACTTTTCAATGACTCCATCACGTGGTGCATGGAAATGACAACGTGTGCAGTCAGGGTCACACTAACGTTCTTCTTCTGAAAAAAACCAAATAATTACGTGTTAAAAGTGATAATCATTATTATCAACATCACGGGAAAGGCAAGAAGATAAACTCACAACATCGCTTTCAAGCACAACCAGTTGCTTTCCCATTCATGGCATCAAGGGATGTTCATCATAAGCAATAGTTTCCTCAAAGAACCCATAATTCTGATGTTTGGAAATTTTTAAATCCACGACTTTTGTTTACCGTGCGTTAAGTAATGTTTAAAAATAACAAGTTTTAAACTTTCAAGGCGAACACAAAGGACTTTATTTTTACACAGAGGCAGTATCTTTTGTACACAGTTGAGTTTGGAGGGGATTGGGTTTTCCTAAAGTTTGAATTGCTAGATGGTATAATTCGTCAAAAACTTCGTCATAATTAAATTTTGTTGAAAAACATTCAAAAAATGTATGTCTTGGAATTGCTTCCTTTTTTGTTGCTATCGATCCATTGTGACAGCCAATATTACAATTTTTCTTGATTATTTTTTTTTCTGCTTTACCAGGTACACGCATCTGTCTCCATTTGAGAATGAAATGCATGGAGGACTGAAAATTTCATCTCTGAACCAGATCCCAAGTGTTTGGTGAGTTGACTTTTATTTCATTTTTTGATGGAAAGAAAAACTTGATATTTTTCTACCTTTTTTTTCCTCTTAGGTTGACTGCA